GTTCAACTCGAAAGTAGCTATGTTGCGATCTATCTCCTCAAAATTAGCTAGACGAGTCCTTCGGTAAATTTTCACTGGTTTAAAAGAAGGATTAACCAACCTAATAGGGATTGTACCATCCTCTGCAACACTAACAAGCTCGGACGCTCCAAAAATCGAATAACGGTGAGATAAATCAGGCTTTGGGACAATCATGCCATCGATACCATACTTATTTGACGAGTCTTCAAGTTCCCCAGAAATCAAAATTTCTGACTGAGGTGGAATCACAAAGCTATGAGAGGCATGGACAGAAGAAATGAAGGCTTCATCAATTAGATCATCGTCGTCATCTACGCGCACACCCTCAAAAGGAAAAGGACTGGGCTCAGAGGGAAAACTAACTAATCCATCCTTAAAATCAACTTTGAAACAAAATCGTTTAAGAAAATCTCTACCCAATATAACATCAAAAGACAGGTCCTCTATCACACATACTTCGAAAGTAAATATACGAGAATCAATAACAAATTCCATCAAAGTCTTTCCTACAGTAGTCAAACGAGAACCATTTACTGTAGTCACACTTTCTGAATCAGGCACACCAAGTTCTGGGTAAGCGTGACATAAGTGTTTTCGCCACACATTAGCGCTTACTGCTGTGACAGCAGCTCCGGAATCTATTAGACATTGAAAATTATGACCCTTTATGCTAACAGGTAGAAGAGCACTTCCAGGCGCAAAAGAAATAGAAATGTCATCAACTTTGTCCTCTACATAATTACTAACGGGCTGTACAAAAGAATTCGCTTCAGCTCTGCTGCTAAAGTTATTTAAAGTCCTCGAGACGGATAAACTTGTTGACCCCTGTTCACTATTCTCTAAATCGCTGCTAGCCAAAGGCGAGTAGTCACTACGTAAAGTTTTGTCGCTATCGGCTACCTCATTTTGCTTAGCGTTGTTCGAAATGACCTCCGAAATAACAATATCGTCACTACTTAACACATCATCATTAAAAATATCTGCTTGTTCAAAAACTAGGCTGTTTTCTTCGACAACAGCACTTTCAAAACTTGGAGGCTCTTCTTTTGAGACCTTACATAAACACTCAGGAGTTCTATCCTGAACAGACAAAGCAGAAAGATTCGGCGTACTGGCACCTGAAAATAAAGTCGCGTGTCCTTTGCTAGACACCGGAGGTTGTTTAAGTACTTCCACACTACTTGATATGACTACTTCAAACAATTCAAGTACCCTAATAACAATAGCTAAAATAATGGACAAAATAATGACGATACTACTCTCCAAACAAGCGCCTTGTTTTTGTCTACCACTCTGCGGAGGGTGACTAGATGAATGTTTTGGTGAGGTTTGACAATTATCTTTGACAATAACATGTTGCGCTAAATCAACTCTCTCATCTACTGAAATCTCGGCAGGCTTGGCTTTACTGAAAGCAAGTTTATCAGCATTGCACGATCCTCCCGATAAATTTCGGTCTACAAGTTTCATTAAAGGTTTTTGTACAGTATTTGACGCCTCCATCACGGGTTCATTTCCTAACGAGACAGGGGCACTTTTCAGTTTCCCTGCTGCTTAGACTGCCAGTCAGAAGTGTTTTGGTCCCTATTTTGATAAAATAAATATTCGGCTCAAAGTTGTAAATGAAAGGACAAGTTTTGCATCGTGCGCGAGCGCATTTGAAAGTTCCGGGTTGTTCATTAGTTTGTAGTGAACTTCTGACCAAAAAGTTGCCTATGTTTTTGATTCGTTTGAATGAAATACGTGGAGATAGCGAAAAGATAGTGCCAGTCTCTGAATCGTTTTGAAGTAATTTAAAGATTTTGAGAATGATAAAATTAACTGCGTGGTTGTGAGGGTGGAATGTTAGGGTGAATGGAATGGGGTGAGAATTTTCCTTACGTGCCGTTTGTAGAGCTGAGTGGTCCATAAATTAGTTGGGCGCGGTGGTGTCCCGCTTGAACGACAGAAATAAGATAGCCACGTTTTTCGAAAAACTGGTACATTGACTCTGATATGTGGAAAAAAATCAGTGTCATCACTATATATACAACGAAGTAAGTAAGTAAGTAAGTAAGTAAAACCTCTATTTAGACACGAAAAGTATTGAAGCTGTGCAGCTTGTGGAAGTCTTAGGAACTGAGTAAAGGGAATGGATTTCTGGACATGAGATGGATGTGAAGATGAATACAACAATTAACTAGGTGGCTTACTTACATAGTTACTTGTTATGCTCGAAACGTCAGCTTTTAAAACACTTTACCATGGCCAATTTACTTTTTCAACTCAGTTGATAAAACCCCAATTACTTAGAAATTGAAGGCTTGGTAAAAAAAATTAACCATCAGAGCACTACATCACTTTGGGATCAACAAAAGATATTTACTTGTATTCTTAAAAGTGTCAGTTTAAAAGTACTTACTTCTGGTTGAAAGAAAGCTTTTCAATCACTCCTAATAGGCAAGTGCCGATGGCCATCATAAAGATAAACACGCCAAAGAACACATGTACTTTAACGTACACTGCACGAGGACCATCAGGCAGCTTAGGAAACAGAAAGCTTACAAAACCAACCAGAAGCTGGGGAGGAAAAGATTATTACCGTAAAGAAAATAAAATAGTACGTTTTGTGAATCTAACAATTTCAGGCTAAACGGTTGGTCCCAATAGAAAATAACATGTCAATCGTTATCTCTCATCTACTCGTATAGAATCAAGGGGGCAAGTTTCCAAGGAAACTGTGGCGCTGCGTAAGTGGGAGAGTATAACGAGAGAATTTTCTTTTATCAACCAAGAGCTTCTAGACTGACGTTTCGAACGTTAGCCGATCGCCAGAGCGAATTCTTTTTTCTGAGAAAACTTGGCTCTGACAGCCTGAAAGCATGCCACCTGACCAGATACCTGGCCATTACAACGTTTGCGTATGCGCAGGCGTTTAACCGCTGTTTTGCCTTAGACGCGTGGCCATTACGACGTTTGCACATGCTCAGACGTTGGGCTGCTGTCTTCCCTCGAGGAAGAGAAAAAAATGGCAGTAGATAACTAACCTGACAACCAAAGAGGATGACGGTAGCTAATCCAGACCAGCTATGAAGGCTGTAGAGATTGGCAAATCCTTTGAAGTTGTGGAAATCAAACACAGCCTTGACACCCCAGACTGCGACTCCAAAAGCCACCAACTGAAGACCAAAATGAACCAGCTTAACATAGAACTTGTTTCGATGACGGAAGACTCTGAACATAATTATGGCTGGAAAAAAAAAAAGGATATAAAAACTAATGAACTCCTATGCTGTCATGGTATCTGTGTGTGCTTCTCGTAAATGACAAATGGGCTTTCATTTAGAATTTTCGCTAAACCTACAATAAGACGCAAAAGTCTCAACTAACACTCGACTGATTTTAACTTTCTTCGATGACTTTCCTCTATCTCCCCCTCTCCCCCATTTTAAAGTTTAAAGAGCGTCTTCCACCGTTAATCGACGGTTTGAACATACTATGGTTTGAAAGAGGTCGTATCGTTAGGAAGTCCTTAAAATCGTCCTTTGGATGTCACGCAATGATCTCCCAGCGCTGCGTGACATCCCAGGGCACGACTCTTCAAAACACTTAATAATTATCCAGAAGCATGGGAATTCGACGATTTGTGCCGCTATGTCATAAAAGATACGCTGATATAAATAGACCTCTTTAGCTTGTATGTTATGTTCACCCATTCCAGATCTCAAGGCAATTCCCAGCTCTATATTTTTGTAATTAATTATGCTTACCTAAATAGGAAGAAATTTAAAAGAAACAGTTCTTTTGAATAAATCACATGACCTGAAATTGGCAAGGACTTTCTCCTTATATAAGGACTATCCGTCGATCGCTCTTTGTATCGTCTAAAAACGCGCGTCGATTATATAAATTACAACGTGGTAACCTCTGCGTTGGGAGTTAAGAGTGAATA